ATTAAGGTCACTGTTTAGAAATGGATGCTAACATGACATTGGGCTGCCTGGACAGTTGGCCTTTAACAGTAGGCAGATTGGCATATAATCAAGTCAATACTGAAGTTATTTGTGCTTGTTCTGAGGAGTGAAAAAACACATTTTTAAATTATCTCTGTGACAAGAACTGTCTTTTAGAACTCAAATTAGGATAGTGTGAACAAAAAGTTTCTTAAAATACAGCATCAGACCTGCCTGTCTGCTAATTCTGGAACAGCATCTCCATTTTGAGGTGGAGCTGGATAGGTTTTACATCTCCTCTTCAAGTTGATACAGTTCAGTTACAGCTGACAGAGCATAAATAGATAAATTTATACCATTCTCGAGAAAACATTGCGATGGAGCAGTTTCTAACTTTTTATCATACCAACTGCAGGTAATGAATTTTTCTCAGCAAAATTGTGCCACCTTTTCTCATAAGAAAAAATATGTCTGAATTTTGTGGCAATTCTCAAGAAGAGAGTCATCCACTCAGAAGTACTCTTTTAGTCATAAGGATATAAAGATGCAACAGGTCTAAGACTGGTAGGAACATAGAATATTTAGTAGAATAGAACATTAAACCAGCTGATATAATTAGGAAATTGTGAATTACGTTTTTGATCCTTAATCTCTCACTGAGTTTTCTTGAAGACTTCACATTAAACATTAAACATAGAACATTAAATCACAATTAGGAAATTGTGAATTACATTTTTGATCCTTTATCTCTCACTGAGTTTTCTTGAAGACTTTTGAGACAGGTAATTGATTGTACAGCTTTAACATCCTATTACCTGTCTCATTTTTCATCTCTTAAAGCACTGGGATAAGAAACCACAAAACGCTAGGAAATATTATCTGGTTTTGGTTGGTTGGTTGGTTTTTGGTGACACTAAACAACACTCGTCTCATCCCTCAAAATCTTTACAGAGGATAAGAAATCACAAAATGCTAGGAAATATTAACTCACTGTTTTTGTTTGGTTGGTTGGTTTTTGGTCACACTAAACAACGCTCGTCTCATCCCTCAAAATCTTTACAGTGAAGTATAGACCATAATAAATAGGTGCAACTTTCAACTATAACTTTCTTTATGCAATTTAACATCAGAATCACTCTTTGCATCAAATAAAATGTATTGATTATATTATTCAGAACCTTCAAACTTTCTGAGTAGCTATTATTATTTTAAATCTTTAAAGAGCTTTAGAAAAAAATCAAATTATAATAAACATGACTTTTGTTATGTCATTGCTAGCATATCCCTGCTCAAAAGGGAATCACTTTGCTGGCTGAGATAACTACCTCTCTACCAAGCTGATTTTCATGTAATTATTTTCTTAGCTTTGACTCAGGAGGCAGTTTCACAATCACTGAAAGTTAAGTGTCTGCAGCCCGACATTCCTTTTCCCCACTCCTGGTCGCACCCTTTCCCTTATGTTGGCACTGGGTTTGGGACCAACACGTTTGGCTGAGATGAAGGCAAGATTTCCATTTCTGACAATAGTACAGACCTATGTGTTTTGATTGGTTAAAGCCAGTGCATCTTGACTGCAATCAAGATCAGTTTCTTGTACATGGACAGCTGATAATGAGCAATTGCAGTAGAGATTGCAAGTCCATCAATTTGGAGATCAGCACTTGAAAGGATTCTCCTAAGAGCATCCCTCTGGCACCTCTGTATGCAGGGAAAGTGGCATGGGACCCCCTACACCGAGCAAGGCATTTCATCTTTGGTTGTCACCTTTGTCTACTCCTCTTTGCTATATTATAAATCTTACTCATCTAGTCCTTGCTCTGAAACTAAATGCATATTTGGTATTACCTGCCTGACAACAAAGAAAAAGAGAGAGCTATTCAAATATATGACAGATTCTAATCTCCAAGAAAACTGTCTTTTCTCAATAGCAATCGGATGCAGCTCTTTCTATGGCAAACAGGAGCAGGCTGTTGTAGGGAGCTGCTGCTAAGCAGTCAGACTGACTATAATACTCATGCAAAATAATGTCAAATGATTGGTCTCATGTTGTTCATTTTGCTTCTGCATTGACAAAAACCTCTCTCAGGTTTGTTGCAGGTTACAGAATGCTGGTATGAGTTGTTTTCTTGCTCTAACTGGGGGATGGTTTACTGCAAGCCATATTACTGCAAAGTCATAGCTGCAATTTTCATGCTCAGGGTATTGGTGTTTCGTACAGTGCAAACTCTGCTAGACAGCAGCAATTAATAATAATGAATAATAATAATAAATAATCTCTGCCCAAGTCCTGAATAAGGCACTGCTACATACAGAAGTAGAGATGTGGACTACGGCTACTCAGGGAGAAGCTGAAAGAAAAAATTGCTTTGAATTAGATTGAGTTTTATTCCATGCCAGCAGCAAGATGAACTTAGACACACTGAGTAAAAGTGTGCGACAAAGAAAATACAGTTTTGGCTCCCGCTATGGTGAAGTAGAGCACAGCATTTCATCCAGATCATAAAAGACCAAGAAACCTTCATAAGATATTGGGACATCTAGATTCTGCAGAAATTTCCTCTTAGACATTTCATCTTAGACTAGAACATCTACTTGCTGACTACCTAAAAGGTTTTGGTCATCTAATTAAATGATTTTAATTAAATTACAACTTTGAACTTGTGGCAACAAGGATGAATTAATCTCACAGAACGCTGGAGGCCAGAAGAGACTACACGTAATCAGGACCCCCAAAGCAACCAATATCTCATGGTGAAGGAAGGAATTTCTAGGTTTGGGACGTAACCTTCTAATAGCAATGAAATAACACGGCTGTATCAAAGCCTTAGGTTTAAACAGAATGAGTAAGTGAACTGACTAAGGCTGGGACACACCTAGTCCAGATCCAAAGACAAAGGAAAGGTAAAAGTTCAATGCTGTGGCTACTTTCCCTTTTTTCCTTCCTCTCTTATTTTTTTCCATTCAGCAGAGCAGTGATTTCCAATATTTGGACTAAAATGGATATTGTTCATCCCAAGAGAACATTTAGAGTAAAGCAGAATAAAATAATGTAATCTTCTAATACAGTAATTAATTTTTTTCAGCTAAACTTTATCATATCTTTTGTACTGCACAGCTGAAGTACCCCATCTGACAGCACTATTTTATCAAAAGACAACCAGGTTCTGGGTTTGTCAGCTTAACTGGAGCATAGAGTCGAAGCTCTGCACTGAGAACATGCTCTCTCCTGAATTTCAGAATCTATCTTCTTGCCATTCCAACGCCTCCTCTCTTCAAATGCGGAAAGCTGCCTAACCCACAGAAGAATTAGTGACTAATTGGAAAGAAAAATCCAGATTCCTTTGTACTTGAATAGTCTATGTTGAAAGTTTGTTGAAAGACTCAAACAAGTCATGCTGGCACTGTGCAAACTCATACCTGAGCCACTCATCTTCCTTTTAACACTGCTGCATTGTCTGGTTCTTGAAGATAAAGACTATATTCTTCGAGCAGGAAGAGCTCAAATCAGAAGGATCTGCAACTTAGTTAACAGTTATTGCTCTCTTTCGCTGGCCACCACTGCTTCAATAGTTCTTGTTTATATCCCCTAGATAAAGTTCCACGTGCTATCTTTGATGAATCATAACACATAATAATCATCACTCTATGTTTGAAAACAACAACGACAACAACCAAAACTGCACACACAGCAGTGAAGATTATACGATGGGAAGGTTATTCCACAGCGGCCTTTTGCTAGGGCAGCCTCGCGTGGGGAGAGGAGAGCTCTGGGGTGAAACTCTGCTGATGCTGCCGCCTCTCTTCTTCACAAAGGGGCCGGGCTGCGCAGCGAGGTGAATCAGCGGCTGCGTGTTCCCGCTCTCAGCGCTCTCCCTCCCACACACGCCGTCGCCACACGCTGTTCTCCCTTCGCCCTGTCTTCCCGCTTCTGCACTCATCGCGCACTGCTTAGAATGACAAGGCAACAGAAAGGAAAGGCCCTGGTGGCATGCTGGATCAAGCATGTGTTTTTCTGTTATAAAGTCAGAAATATGTGGTACGTGGGTGCAAAGAGAGCAGCATTTTGTATTTTGCAAGTTATTTTGTGAAAACCTGGAATTAAACAAACAATCTAAATTTGAAGACCATACTTCTTTCTGGATACTTTTTTTACAATTAATAATCCCTTCTGAAATAGTCCCTTCTTGTTAAGGTGCAAATGAAATAAAAATCATTCTATTTGGTATGTCACAGTGTAAGAATGTCTTTAAGAAAGAGGTGGGAAAAAAAAAAAAAAATTCTTTAAGAAAGAGGTGGGAAAAAAGAAAAAAGTCTGCACAAGGTTAAATACAAGCTGTAAACTGACATCCTCATAACATCACTACTGTACAAGTATTCTGTCGTTACTGTCCCAAGGCAAAAATGTTCTTGTGATTTTTCTTCACGTGTTTCT